TGGAACAGAAAGAGGACATTAGTGAGATCTGAATAAAGGGCAGAATTTTGTTAATAGTCATGTACCCATGTTGGTTTCTCAGCTTTGACAGATGTACCATGGTAACGAGAATGATAACATTAGGGAAAATTGGGTGAGGGGGGTCTATTTGAGCTCTACTATCACAGCAACTTCTCTGTAAATCTAAAACATGTCTAAAAGAAAAAGGTTATTTAAAAAAGAAAACCAGGTGGGCTTACGAGCACTTTTGCACCACTCCCCATCAAACTATTCTTCAAACAGAAGACAGAATCTGTTAAGCCAATTGAGGGGGGTTGTGCTACTTAGGTGTATGTATTTGTCAAAATTCATCAAGCATTAACATGTAAAATATGTGCATTTCACTCTAAATTTTGCTAGGAACAAGATGCTTAAATATTTGACCTTGTTGTAATATGCATACTGAAGTGTTTAGGGGTGAAGTGCACTGATATTTGCAAATTGCTTTGAAATAAATAAGAAAAGATGGATGTATGGGAACTCTCTGTACATTTTGTTCAATTTTGCTGTGAATCTAAAACTGCTCTAAAAAATAAAGCTTATTAATTTAAAAAAGAGATGGATGATGGGTAGTTGGATAGATGGATGATGGAGGATGGATGGAGAATGAACGGATAGGTGGATGATGAATGGTTGGATGACGGAGGATGGATGGATCAACACATAGAGGACAGGTTCATTTTAAGCAAATATAGCAAAATGCTAATTGTAGACTCTAGGGTACCCATCTAGGGTACATAGGTGTTCACTCTACAATTCTTTCATTTTTTAATATGTTTTTAAAATTTCTTAGTAACACGCTAAAAGGAAAAAGAAAAGTCAAATCCTGTCAGCCTCTATATGAATCCCTCCAAGGTTTCTCATCTCACTTCGAGTAGAAACCAGAGTCTTGGTGAGTCCCTATCCAATCTTGTACCAATCACCTCCCTGATCTCCTCTCCTACCACTCCTTCATTCCTTCCCTCACTCCTCTCCAGCCATGTTGACCTCTCTGCTCCTTGAACATACCAGTCACATCCCCACCTGAGAACCTTTGCACCAGCTGTGTCCTCCCCCTGGGGTATGTCCCCAGTTATCTGCATGGCTCTCCTTCAGCTCCTGCTTCTACAGACCTGCAGTTCCTACCTCTCTCATCCTGTATTATCTTTCTCCATAGCATTTGTCCCCTACTAACATGCTTTAAAATTTACTTGTTTGCTATGTTTTCTGTCTCCTTTTACTAGAATGGGAGCCCCATGTGGAAAGGGATTTGTCTATTTCATTAACCAATGAATAACTAGCACCTAGGACAGTGTCCAGCACTTTAAGATGAGTGAATGAATGAATGAATGGAGTAAGGATGAATCATTGTATAAGAGTTAAGAGCACGGGCTTTGGAACCACAATGCCTGGAGTCATATCCAACAATGTTACTCATAGCCATGTGTCCTTTGCTAAGTGGATTCACATCTCTGTACTTGAGTTTCCTTCTCAGAAAAATGATGCTTGTAGGGAACTGTTACAATTGCTAAAGCGGCTGTAAATTGTACAGCCACTTTGGGAAACAGTCTGGCACTTTCTTAAAAAGTGAATCATTGACTTCCCATATATACTAGCAATTCCGCTCCTAGAGATCTACCCAAGGGAAATGAAAACATACGTCCACCACAAGACAGTTGTGCTATAAACAGCACTATTCAAACAGCCAAAGAGTGGAAACAACCCAGACACCTGTCAACGCATGAATGGATAAACAAAATGTGTTCTATCCATACAGTGGAATATTATCCAGCCATAAAAAGGAATGAAGTACTGATACAATTTACAGTGTGGATGGGCCTTGAAGACATTATGCTAAGTGAAAGATAGTGGTCATAAACACCACATACTGTATCATTTCATTTATATGAAATGTCCAGAGTAGGCAAATCTGTAGAGACATAAAGTAGATTAGTGGTTGCCAGGACCTGGGGGGTGGGAATGGAAAATAACTATTAATGGGCACAACAGATCTTTCTGGGGTGATGAAAATGTTCTAAAATTAAATTGTGGTGATAGTTACACAACTCTGTAAGTTTATTAAAAATCATTGAAGTGTACACTTAAAATGGGTGAGTTCTATGGTATGTAAATAATACCTCAATAAAGCTGTTTGAGAAAAACAAAACAAAACAAAACAACAACAAAAAGGAAGCCCATCACAATCTCTATTTTATGGGGCTATTGTGAGGATTAAATGAGCTAATCTGTGTAATCCTCTTAGAAACAGACATAGGGTATATACTCAAGAAATATGTTTTTATTATTATTATTAACAAATGTGGTTGAGATGCTTTATGTAAAATGCTCAGCACAGCAAAAGACAAGTGATAGAGTTCAGTACACAACCACTACTATTACTTCAATCATCATCATCATCATTTGGCTACTTAATTTCCTGTGTCTGTCCCACGTATCTGGGCCTCAGCTTTTTCACCTGCAAAATTGAAGAACTGGGCTCCTTCTCTAAGGCCCTTTCATCTTCATATGTTCTGTATTTTGTTCTGAGGATGTTTTTCTCCAGGAGCAGCAGATCCTTAAAGGAGAGTTAGTGCATGGGGTGCCCAGGGGAAGATGGTGGGAAGATGATGGGGATGGGGCTCCCAGGGCCTGCAGATGAGGATGCATTTTGAGAGGGGGCTTGAAAGTGGGTTTTGTGGTAGGAGCTAATCTTGAGGGTTATATTGGCCTGACTAAGGGTTCAGGGTGTGGAGCCAGTCAGCCTGGGTTTGAATCCCAGGTCTGCTATTTTGTAGCTGTGAGATCTTAGACTAGGGACTCCCTCTCTGGGTATTGTTCTGTCTCTAGAAAATGGGGAGGATGTTTCCTGCCTTCCAGTGGGGTAGTGAGGATTCACTGAGATCATATATATATACCATCCTGGAAGAAGAAGAATAACAAAGCAACAACAGCAATGACTTCTTGCCAGGTGCCAAGCTGCCAAGCACTGTCTTTGGCCCTTTCCACACAGTAACTTTTTTTTTTTCTTTTTGTGGCTGGCCAATACAGGGATCCTTACCCTGGACTTTGGTGTAACCAATACGACACTCTAACTAACTGAGCTAATTGGCCAGCCCCCCCCCCATCTTCACTTTAAGCCTCAATTTGTCCCTTCTATAAGTGGGAATGTATAATGCCCTCCTTTGATGGGTGTTGTCCACGATGCTGTGCTGATTAAGTGTCTGGCCATCGTAGGCTCTCACTAAATAGGTTTGGTAATGGTAATAGGATATGGATATGGTAATAGGGAGCTACTGAAGATTCCTGGGGGAGGGAGTGGCCTTGATGTATTAAAAGCATACTCCGGGTCCCCTCTCTCCAGCACTTGAGGTTTAGTTACAGCTTCTCATAGGATCTAGTACTTTAGGGAACCAGCCTCATCTGGTAACCCTAATTTATTTGTGCCAATAATATTGCCCATCTCTTGAGGTGGACTATCTTCACAAGGGCAGGTACCCAATTGGTCTCATCCAACACTCTACCTCAACATCCAGCACTGGGCTTGAACAGAGCAATAATCAAACAAACTAACACATACTGACACTGACTATGCTCTGAGACTTTTCTAAGGGCTCAGCCAAGAAGTTTTAAATCATTGACAGTGGGAATTCTTCAAAGCTTTGGGTGGTTATCATCTCCACACCTCGACCTTCAATGACCATCTTCCTGGCTTTCTGCCCTCCTTCACTCCACCTGGTGTTGTCACACCAGGAGAACTATCTTTCTTCTTGGAGCCTCAGTTTGTCACCCTGGAAAATGGGGATGATCTTGCCCCTCTCTTGCCTTTCCGTGCAGGTGCAAAGATACCTAAGTAGTCAATGTTATTATTTACACAGATGGAGCCTCAGTTTGTCACCCTGGAAAATGGGGATGATCTTGCCCCTCTCTTGCCTTTCCGTTCAGGTGCAAAGATACCTAAGTAGTCAATGTTATTATTTACACAGAGCAAAAGAGAGCCCTTGAAGGTGCTGGGGGAAGGCACGATGTCAACAGAAAGAGAAAGGGGTTTAAGGAATTGGCCTGGAGATATTCTTCCTCACTCCACTCCTAGGGCCTAAACAAATGTGGGGAAAAAAAAAAATCAATCCAGAGGTTTTGTAGAAAATGAAACTTTCCACCCACTCCTCATTACTTGCAGTTTCTCAGATATGCAGTACCCACATCCCTGCCTTTGCTCCTGCTGTTCTCTCTGCCTGGCATTCTCTTCACGCAAATGGTTCCTTTCATCTTCATTGAAATCAAAAGTCACCTTACCAGTCCCATCAGTGTCTCACAGTTTTCTCTCAGTAGCCTTTATCAATCCCAGATGCTGTATTGTATATTAGTTTATTATCTAGAGCAGCACTGTCTGTTAGACTTTTCGTGATAATGGGATGTTCTAGATCTGTGCAGTCCGATATGGCAGCCACCATCCACATGGGGCTATTTGGCCCTTGAAATTGTGTGACTGAGGAAGTGAACTTTTAAATTTATTTCATTTTAGTTATTTTAAACTTACTTATTCTGAATTTAAACAGAAACAGCCATGTGTGGCTAGTGGATTCTGTGACAGTGAAGATCTAGAACATTCCATCATTGTAAAAGTTCTATTGGCAGTGCGGTTCTAGAATTCCAGCTCCTACAGGGAAGGGGATTGGTTTTCTTCTCCTCAGTATGCTCAGAACCTAGCACTGTGCCTGGCACAGAGCAAGAACATGGTCGTGTTTGCTGAATAAATGCATGGAGAGGTTCCACAGGGCAGCTGTAATGGTAATCTACTCACATTCCTGTTTCTTCTCAACCCAAGGTACATGGGCTTCTTGCTTGCTTGAGGGCCCAATGTTCCCTGATATGGGTATCTGTATCCTTCCTGCTCTGAACCCAAACTCAGAGCCTGTTGGACAAATCCCAGCTCACCGCAGACTCCCTCACCAGCCCCAACCTTCACAGACAGCCTCACTCTCTTGGATTTCACGAACTCACATTTATTCATAGACAGACAAAGGGACGAAGACAGACCTTTGCTCACTGGGGACCCCCAGGGTCTGGCAGTTCCAAAGAGGTGGTGATGTCCAGTGTGTATAATGGGGGAATAGGAAGGCAGGGGCGTCCCTACCAGTCTCCATCCCTCTGGCCAATTGTCCTCCGCCTCCTTTTCCAAGTCGTCCTGCCTTAAGACACATGTTGGGGTGAGAGGTTCCTAACCAGCATCAGGGGTCTGGGGGTGGGTCATGGGGAGGGAGGGGTGGTCCAGGGCTCCCCTCTCCTTAGTGTCAAGGGCTTGAAGGGGAGGGGCGGGTAGACAGAGGAGGTGCCTCTCCTTCAACTTCCCTCCTACATATTGCAAACCGGGGAGCTCAAATGGAGCGGCGGAGGGTGGGTGTGAGGGTCAGGAGGCCAGGCCTCCCAAGCCGCGCAGGTGAGCTTTGCTGTCTACCTCTTCTTCCTCCATCTCGAAGGCTGAGTGGTCTTGGCTGTCGAAACAGGAGGCGCTGAGGAAGACAGGGGGGACAGGCGGGGACTGGGGTGGGGTCCCTGGGGAGGGCGGCTCTTCCTTGATGCGTACGATGGGCAACTGGACCCCTTCTTCCTGCTCAGCCTTCGGGGGCGGTGGAGGCAGCGGTGGTGACGGAGGGGCCTGGGCCTGGAGCGCCTGCAACGCGGCGGCCCTCTCCGCGGCGGCCCTCTCCAGCTCGGCTCGATGGCAGCGCTGGTGGCGCAGGAGGCTGTAGGCGCGCGAGAAGCGCCGCGGGCAGTGCGGGCACGGGTGCGGGGCCGGGCCCCCGGCGTGGACCTGCGCGTGGCGAGCCAGGTCTGCCAGCCGCTTGAACTCCCGCTGGCAGCGCACACACTGGAAGGGACGTGCCCCCGAGTGGGTCACCCCGTGCTGCCGCAGGTGTGCCCGACGCCGGAAACCTTTACCGCACTCGGGACACCAGAAGCGAGGTTCCCCGGCGGGGGGCCGGGCCGGGGCAGCATCCCCTCCATTCTGCCCTCCTCCTGCTTCCGAGCCACCCCCGCATGCCGCCCCTTCGCCCCCCTCCGGCCCCTTCCCTGAGTTCCGTCCAGCCGAGGCCTTGTCGTCCTTCTTCCCGGCTGTGGGCAGCGGGGCCAGCAGGCTGAGCGGACCGTGGACGCGGCGGTGCTGGCGGAGGTAGGAGGCCAGGCGGAAAGCCAGGCCGCAGTCTGGGCACACAAAAGGGCGGTTGGTGGAGTGGACCAGCCGGTGGCGGGACAGGGACCAGGGCCTGGCGAAGGCCTTGAGGCAGATGGAGCACTGGTGTCGCTTGGGGCGTGGCGGGGGCCCCCCTTCGCCCTCCTGTTCGCCCTCTGGGCGCAGACACGGGTGCGCTTTGAGCTCACCCTTGGTGGCGAAGGCTTCGCGGCAGCGGAGGCACAGCAGCGTCCAGTCGGCCTGGAGCAAGACCTGCTTCTCCTCCTGCCTTCTGGCCGCCAGCGCCAACTCGGCCCTCAACTCCGCTGCCCCTGCCTCGGCCTCCTCCTCCTCTGACTCCCGGGGCTCGGCGCTCGGGGGAGCCGCCCGCGCAGCTGGCTCCGCAGTGGGCCACGTCGGGGGCCACGCCGCCTCATCCTCCGCAGCCCCCGCTGCTGCCGTGGTGGGCTGCTCCACGCCCTCTTCCTGCGGGCCCCAGCTGGATTCGGCCGTCTCCTTGGCCACCCTCTCGATGGCCAGCTCGACCTCGCCACCTGCATGCTCCTGGGCCAAGTGGCGCCTGAGCTGGGCGGGCTCTGGGAAGGTGCGGGGACAGGCGGCACAGCGCAGCGGAGGCTGGGGCCCGTGGCCACGCAGGTGGCGGGACAGGTGGGCAGGCCGTCGGAAGGCCTTGGGGCACAGGGGGCAGGCGTGGGGCCGGAGGCCTGAGTGGCTCAGCCGGTGTCGGGAGAGGTAGTAGGGGAAGCGAAAGAGGCGGCCACAGATGGGGCAGGGCAGGGGGGCCCGAGGGGCTCCAGCGCCCCCTCGGCCACGGCCTCGGCCACGACCACGGCCTCGGCCACGGCCCCGGCCTCGGCCACGGTGAGGCGGGCTGCCCTGGGCAGGTGGAGGGGGCTGAGGATCCATGCCTGTGGGGAGAAAGGGGAGAGATGGAAAGATGGGCGGCGGGGCAGAGGTAAGGGAGGCGAGTGGGGTGTGGTAGAGAGAGAAGCAGAGACAGAGACAAACAGAGAGGGAGAGAGAGAGGGTCAGATATTCAGCCAGGGAAAGTGGGGAGAGAGGTATGAGACAGAGGCAGACACGAGAGACAGAGATGTAGAAGTGAGAGAGGGAGAGACAGAGAGAGAGAGAGAGAGAATGAGAGAGCGATCAGAGACAGAGAAGGAAAGAGAGACAGGAAAAGACAGACATGAAAGACAGAGGAGTAGGGATGGAGGGATAGAGACCAGGAGAAACAGAAAGGATGGTGAATGACAGAACAGAGGGAGAGAGAAAAGGAGAGGGAGAGGGAGGGAGGGAGGAAGGGAGGCAGGGGAGGGAGAGAGAGAGAGAAACACCCAGCAGAGAGAGACAGAGACACACAGAGGAGAAAACAAAGAGATTTAGAGACCCAGAGGTAGAGACAGTGCAAACACAGAGATCAGAAGGACCATGGTAGGGTTGAGGTAGGAAAAGACAGGGAGACAGAGAGAAGGGAACAGGACAGATACAGAGAGAAGAGACACAGAGGGAGACAAAGTCAGCAAACTGCTTTGGCTCCAGGGCCTAGGGGTTGAACGTTTTGGGAGGGGCTGGAAACAGCCCAGGGGGCCCTAGTGGAGGGGATGAGATTCAAAGTCGGGAGGCCCGGGAAATGGAGTGTGTGTGCCCAGACGCCAGGGGCTGGGAGAGGCCAGGGAGTTAGGAGGGTCTTGGTCTGAATAGGGAGGAGGCTGGGGGCCTGGACTCATGGGACTGAGGGAGGTGGGAGCTGGGGATTGGGACTCATGGGTCTGGGACACGAAGGGATGGGGGATCTAGACTCCTGTGTGTAGGAGGTATAGATTCCTGGGTCCCAGTGGAGGAGGGGGCTGGGCTCCTAAGACAAGGGGAAAGAGTGGGCTGGGGACCCATCTGCTGAGAATCTCCAGGAAGGAGGAGGAAGCTGAGGGTCAGACCCCTGGACCCAGGAGGAAGGCTGCTGGGGGTCAGTCCTGGAGGGGGACCGATCTCCTTCTTGGCCCAGCTTGCGGTTCCTCGCAGGCATGATCAGCAGAATTGGGGCCGCAGGTCGAGGCCTTGCCCATTTCTCAGCCTGGGACCCGGGGCTCGGCTCTGGTCGCTGGGCACCCAGTTCTTACCTCCGCCTCCTTTGCTCCTTTCTTCCTTCCCAGCGGCCGGCCAAACGCGGACAGTGCTGGCAGGGAGGGAGGGGGGCCCCCCCGAGCGTGGTGGGGGGTGGAGGAGGAGGAGGCTGGGCTCGGTGTCACCGCCTAAGTCTTCCCCCCGGAAACCTGGCCTCTCGTGGAAGCCTGAGAGAGAAAAGACTGGCTGGGGAGCCGGAAGCAGGAGGACCACCAGACCCAGGGGGCGGGGAGGGAGGGCGGCTTGGACTCCTGGGTCCTGAGAGTGGAGGGGACTTGGGGCCAGTCTTCTGGGCTCCCAAAGGGAGGAAGAGGCCGGGGGCCTTGGAGGCTGGGCTCAACTACTCTCTCCCCTCAACAGACACACATGTTCATTCATTCCTTCAACAAGTACACATTTATTAAGTCCTGTCTGTGCCAGGCACTGTGCTGGGTAAGGGGGGTGGCCGGGGGAGGGAGATGAAAGAGACTTCAGAAAGTACAGCCACTCTGGATAAAAGCTGGCTCCTGCTTTCACTTGGCTGCATGCGCAAGTGACTGTCTTCTTTGAGACACAGTTTCCCCTTCTGCGATAAGCCCTTGCACATATTCATTGGCTCCTAAGCGACCCGTATTTACTGAGCACCTACTACAGGCCAGCTCTTCATATATTTTGCTACATATACTCATATATATTCACTTGATCCTGAACAACCAGTATTTACTGAGCACCTACTATGGGCTAGCTCTGTCCTTGGTGCTAGAGCGACAGTGGCAAAAACAGAGGCTATTGGACCATGTCTGCATGGAGCTCACCATCTGATGGGGGAAGCAGACAGATCAATTATACTCCTGGTGTTTGTGGTGTGTGTGTGTGTGTGTGTGTGTGTGCGCGCGCGCGTGTGCCTGCACTCTAATGCAGAAAACTGGATGCTGTGGGAATGCAGAGAACGGATAAGGCACTGAGCTGAGCTCACACTGGGAGTGGGGATGATTCCCAAAGTCTTCCTGGAGGCAATAATGTTTCACCTGAAACGTGCAGGAAGAAACCAACGTTGCTACATCTCAAAAACCTAATGTGGAGCAGAAAAGGCATGTTGCAGTAGTATACCTGCAGCTTGATGCTTTTTGTTTAAGGTTAAATTCATGCCGAAAGTTGTTGGCAAGAGTGTGCACAAATAGGTCCTTTCTTACATGGCTGAGGCAAGTAGAATTTGGAACAGCCTTAATGAGCCAGCAATTGCAGGAATTCATCTTTGAGAGATCTATTCAGAAACGTGCAAAACGATGTCTGTACCAGGTTAATCATTGCAATATTGCCATCGCAAATGACTGAAAATGATCTGAATGTTCATCTGTAGAAGATGTGAGTAATAAATCATGATCGATCCACCGAATGGAATACTGTGTGTCCATAAAAAAGAAGGAAGAAATTCACTGTGTGAAAATACAGAAAGGCTCCAAGTGATATCCTGAAGGGGAGAAAAAAAAGGAAGGTGGAGAACAGCCTGCAGCCTGTTCTATCTGTGCTTGTTTATCAGTGGATTGTGTGGGAAGAGCTGCAAGAAGAGAGAAGAAAATGGCAACATCGTCTAATTCTCAGGACTAAAACTTACTAACCTCTATCATTTTGTACTTTTTGAATTTGAAACTATGTGACTGTGTTATATACTCAAAAATGTAAAGGAAAATGAAATAAATGGAGATCAATAAAATTAAACTAAACAATAGCTTATTTTTGTAAGTGCTTTACAAGTATGAACCCATTTACTCCTCCTTACCTTCAGTGGGAAACTTATTATTTTCCTCTGTTTACAGAGAATGAAAGTGAGGTACTAGGAAGTTTCAAAGCTAGTGAGTCTTGGTAAGATTTCAGCTTCACAAATAGATAGGAAACATGATAGTAGATCAGGAACAAGATTTTTAAAAGCACCAGGTCAGTGATATTATAATTTTAAGGATATATACATATGGATTAAAAGTTCAAAAATATGCATAGAAATAAGTACCAAATTTAGGGTCGGACAATCAGATCTTGGAGAAAGGGGTCTATGGGGAATCAGGTGTATCTCTAATATTTCAAAGCTGGCAGTTAGTATATGGACGTGTGTGTGTGCGTGCGCGCGCTAACTTTTTAAATTTGGTAAAACACACATAACACAAAATTTACAATTTTAATCATTTTAATGTGTACAATTCAGTGGTCTATGGGGAATCAGGTGTATCTCTAATATTTCAAAGCTGGCAGTTAGTATATGGACGTGTGAGTGTGCGTGCGCACGCTAACTTTTTAAATTTGGTAAAACACACATAACACAAAATTTACAATTTTAATCATTTTAATGTGTACAATTCAGTGGCATTAAGTGCATTCACAATATTGTGCAACAGTCTCCGCTATCTAGTTCCAGAACTTTTTCACTAACCCAAACAGAAACTCTGTACCCATTAAACGGTCACTCCCCATTCCTTTCTTCCCCAGCCCCTGGCAAGCAATAATCAGCTTTCTGTCTCTACGGATTTGCCTATTGTGGACATTTCATATAAATGGAATCATACAATTTGTGGTCTTTTGTGACTAGCTTCTTTCACTTAGCATAATGTTTCGGCAGTTCATCCATGTTGCGGTACCTATCGGCCCTTCATTCCTTTTTATGGCTGAATAATATTCCATTCTATGAGTATACCACATTTTGTTTATCCATTCATCTGGTGGTGGACATTTTGATTGTTTCTCTCTTTTGGCTATTGCGAATAGGGCTGTTATGAACATCGGTGTATAAGTTTTTGTTTGAACAGCTGTTTTCAATTCTTTTGGGTATATATATGGGGTGTGGATGTGTTGTTTTATCATCTAAATTTTGAAGCTTTGATTTTTTTTCTTAAAAAAGGAAGGAGAAGAAGAAGAGGAAGAAAAGAAGGGGGAAGAAAAAGAAAAAGCATATCCAGGAATCGGGGTGACAGTAAAGAAAATTTCAAGCATACAGAACAGCACGTGGAAGGGGGCTTAGGACTTGGGGGGTAGGATTTGGGGTCTTGAGCAGGGGCCTCAAAGGCGGCCAGCGTGGTGGAGAGAGGCCAGAGCTGCACGGAGCGCCTGTGCCGGGCCTCCTAGTCCAGGCTGAGCTTGGACTCATTCCCAGTGCACTGAGAAGCCACTGAAAAGGCTTTAAGCAGGAGAGTCACATGATCCGATTAATGTTTTAGAGAAATTCCTGTGGGACACGCGTGGAGGCTGGACCGGATGCGGCGGAGTCCGAGGCCCGAGCGGGGAGGGGGCGGGGCGCAGGTCCAGGTGAGAGAGGGGGTACGCGCCCCGCCCACCTCGGGCCGGAAAGGCGGTTCCCTAGGCAGGGGGCGGGACCTGGCGCTGATTGGCTGCGAGCTGTACTCCTGGATGCCAGTCTCACTTCAACCATCTCCTCATTGGCTCTCCTGTTTCCGGCCCCCCTCTCGTCCCGCACCCGGGAATCACCACGTCGCTCCTGAGCCGAACACCCTCCAGTGTCTCCCCTTCTCGCTTGGAATAAAAACCAGACCTTCTCCCCTATAACCTCCATCCCTGCCCGCATCCCCACCCACGAGGCCCTACATGTCTGGACCTCCGCCCTCCGGGGTCTCCCTCTCATTTCTGACCTCTCTCCTTCTGCTTCCATCTACTCCAGCCACACGCCCCTCTTTTTGCTCTTTCTGGATTCAGAGCCTTTGCACTTGCCGTTCCCTCTACCTGGAATGTTCTTCCTCTACATTTCCATAAAGCTTGCTTTGTTTCCCTCACTCCTTTCAGATCTCCTCAGAGACACC